TCAGAATCCCTGGAGGAGTGACGGGTCCCCAGCCACGCCCGCCCCGCCGCCTCCGCCCGCGCCTCCTCCTGCTCCTCCACTCTCCCGTCTGCCTCTCGGCTGGGGAAACCGAGGCTGCCTGGCCAGCGGGCGGCAGGGCTGGGCTCCCCGGCCCCTCACATCGCTATGCCCTCCTTCCCCACCCGCCCCCTGCCCTGTCTGGGCCCCCACAGCCAAGCGGCCCCTCAATCCACGGGGTGGGGGGAGCAGGGAGCCAGAGGAGCTGCGCGTCCCAGCGGGGACCAGAGAGGCCATCTCTCCTCCACCGCCACCGAGGACCCATCTCTGTCCCCCACCCTGAGTGTCCCCAGCCAGATCCGTGCCCCTCCCCCCCTTTGATCACTGTGACCTTCCGGGGGAGGGGCGTCCAAGTGCACATGGACCTCAGAGTGTTTTGTTTTTCTCTTCTTGGTGTTCGACATGCAGCCAGTCTCACCCAGACCCTCATGACCTCTGACCTGTGCCCCCTCCCTGGGCCCCTGGAACACCCATCCTGTCCCTGTCCACTCACCTTGGTGGAGGGGCCCGTGGGATGGGCCTCAGGCCACCAGGCAATAACCATGGGGCCTGTAGGGGCACCCCTGCCAGCCCTAGTAGCACCCCTCGACCAGCAGACAGCCACAGCACAACCCCTGCGACTGTCCAGCCAGGACTGCCCGAGGGGCAGGTGGGCCCTGGGGCCTGGACACTGTGCCCTGGGGATGTGCCCTTCCTTTGAGGCACAGATGCTGGAGTGGTGGTGCTGGGCCTGGGCACTGAGCGCAGGGTGCCCGTCAGCTAAGGCCCCGTCCAGAGGGGGCGATGGCACTCCACACCAGCAGGACCTGAGGGGGCTCCAGGTGGAAGGCTGCCCTGTCCCCTCCTCCACCCACTGGGCCAGTGACAGAGCCCCAGGAAGCATTGCCCCAGTCTGGTGTACCTGCAGCCTCAAGGTTCGGGGTGTCTCTGTGAGACAGTCTGGGCCACTCCACTCACGGGACTCCCCGGGGGCCGTGTCCTTCAGGAAGGACACTGCGGGAGGGTGCGTGGGTGGTGGTGCCTGTGCGTGTCTGTCGTTGGGACGGCGTGTCTGCAGCCTGCGTGAAGCGAAGGTGTAGTGCGTGTGGCGTGGACGGTGCCCGTGTGTGGGGCCGGCTGAGGGGTGTCTGCTGAATCGTCTGCCCGTATTTGCACAGTTGTCTTGGGGTGCACGACGTGGTCTATCTGTGAACCTGTTATTCTCACTCTCTGAGGGTCACCTGTCCACTCTCGTCTGTGGCAAGCTGACTTGTGGCTGCAGGACAGACTGGACCCCGGCTGGTGCTGCGCAGCAGGCCATTGCCAGGGCAGCCACCCGGAGCTCCACACGCCACCACCTCACTGTTCCCGGGTCAGCCCGGGTGGGGGGCCAGATCCCACTCAGGGCTCACGAGGCCGCGCTCCCAGTGTTGGCCGGGCTGGGGTCAGCTGAAGGCCCGGGGGGATGTGCTGCCCGACTCCCGTGGACTCCTCAGCATTCCGTGCCGAGGGGTTGAGATGTGGCAGCCAAGCGTGCGAGGGAGAGAGTGGTCCCCCGAGGCGGACGCACCGCGGGTCGGGGTGGGAGACTGTGTGCATGCGCGGGACGGGAGGGGGCGCAGGATGCAGGAGGCCTCTCTGTGGCTGACTGCTTTCCTCTGTGTTCCTGTGGCTCCTGAGTGGTTCCTGGCACGCTTGGAGAGGTGTGAGTGTGTGGACCTGGGCGTGCGAGGCTGCGGGTGTGACAGGGCTCCCCTGCCCCAGTCAGTGGTATTGTCTGAGCATAGCTGAGCTCTGACCCTTCAGCTGGCCCAGGGCCCCCAGCAGCTGGTGTCACCATGGCCCCTGCCTGGACAGGGGTCTCAGCCCTTTCTCAGGGACATGCCCTGATAGCACAATCTCCCTGGGGCCCGCCTGCCCGTCCCCAGGCCTCTCCAGCCCCGGGCCCTGCCCCCGCTGGGGAGAGGGACTCTGCAATAGGAGGGGCCGAGCCGCCCTGACTGCCGCCCGCCCGCCTGCCCGGGCATCCTGGTGCTGGGGACCTGCCAGGCCATGCTCGCTGTGACCCTGCCCCTCCCCCCGCATGTGGGAACCCCGCCCCCTGTGGGGTCTGTGTCGCACTCGCTCATATAGACATAGTCTTCCTGCAATAAAGAAGTGGATCCTGTGTTCTCCCGCGGCTCCTGCGCCTTCTTCCAGGTGGGAGTGTTGGGGACGGGGGAGGTGATGCGTGGGGGCCGTGGGGCTTGGAGGAGGAGGGCCCTGCGGAGCCTGGAGCAGGGCTGGAGGCGGGGCAGGCTCCGCAGGGCTGTGCCTGGACACTGCTCCACGCTAGCTCGCGTGACTCCTCCCAGGGCCTCAGTTTCCCCTTCACTCTGCACCATTAGCCTGGGGCCCCCAGGCTTTCTGTGACCTTGGACGATTTCCCTGCAGGGCACATGGTGGAAAGGGGCAGGTTCTCGGTGGCAGGGAGGGCACCCGGCAGGGCTCCCTCCTGTCCCCAGCACTTGAGATATGTCCTCTCAGCTTCCCCTCGTCACCAGCCCTCAGGCCCCACCCAGACCAGAGGGTCTTGTTCAGGGACAGAACAGGAAGAGCTGTGCTCCTCCGTCCCTTCATCCAGTAGGTGACAGGCACCACTGTGCCCTGGCCCTGCCCTAGACATGAACCGCGGGCTCCTCTGGGGAGAGGGCCCCACAGCGAACTGGCTGGGCCATTCAAGATGTGTGCTGCACACGGCAAAGACGACCTGCACTGCAGACCGCCGTGGGTGTGAGTGCCGGCCGGCTGGACTGGGAAGGCAGGGCGGCAGCGGCTCAGCAGGGTTGGAGCATCAGGCAGAGGGGGAGCGGGGGCAGCACATGCAAAGGCCCTAAGGCAGGAGCCTCTGAGGCCACAGTGCCCGGAGAAGAGGAAGGGGAGGGTGGTTGCCAGGGAAGCCAGAGAGGTCATGCAGGGCTGGGGACCGAGAGTCAGGGTGTCCTGCAGAGGACACTGGGCCATCAGATGACATTTGGTGTTTCCTGAGGGGCCTCACGAGGGCCTCGAGCTCACTGCAGTCCGTTGAGGACAGCGGGAAACCCATGAGATTCTATCCCTTGATTCTCAGTGTGTGGTGCTGGGAGAGGAGCCCTGGGCCTCGCCAAGCTGAGCACCGCTCCCCACCGGCCCCAGGCCCAGCCAGGGCCCCACTCACAAGGCCAGGAACTCGCAGGTCCTCATCTCCCCATCTGCACCACACGACTTTGTGGCTGAAGTCCAGCTTCCCGGGCCCTCCGGGCAGGGAAGGTGGGTGGGGGCCCAGCTGTAGGGTCAGAACTGGGGAGCCCAGCTGCACCTAGGGCAGGAGGGGTCATTTTTGAGAGTACCCCGCACCAGTGTGCAGCAGGGCTCCTGGCCCGGATCACCCCTCGGTGTCGAGCACATCCCGTCCCTGCTGGGGCCAGGCATCTGGTGTATTCTCAAAGGCCAGGAAGAGCCAGCTGGACAGGGTTAGGGGAGTCGGCAAAGCCCTGGCTTTGAGCACAGAGTTTAAGGGGTCTCAGCCCACAACCCTCTATCATCAAGATAGATACGTGTTTAAGGGCTGGGGATGGGGCATGTGTGAGGCACTGGGTTCCATCTTCAGCTCCGCATAAAAATAAAGATACTGTGAAAACCTAAAACTAAACAATAAATATTTTAAAAAAGATAAATAAGTGTTTAATATACTTGATATAATTGTACATCAAATATAAATTTGTTGGTAATATGATTAATGTGCACTAGTGCAACTATTATTATTATTATTACTATAGTAGCAGTAGTAGTAGTAGTATAGGGGATTGAACCCAGGGGCACTTAACCACTGCACCACACCCCAGGCCCATTTTGTATTTTATTTACAGACAGGGTCTCACTGAGTTGCTTAGGGTCTCACTAAGTTGCTGAGGCTGGCTTTGAACTCACAATCCTCCTGCCTCAGCCTCCTAAGCCGCTGCGATTACAGGCATGCACCACGATGCCCAGCACCATCTTTTGACCTTTTAATTTAAGATCAGGTACAAAGAAACCACACAGGAGGATTCTCCTTCCCCTTACTGCGTCCTGCAGCCACAGCACAGTCTCTCTGCCAGGAACCTACAGCGCTCAGACCTGGAGTATACCATTGTGCGTAGCCCTCTGCCCCCTCCTTGCACACACAGCTTCCCGGCGCCGGAGCTGTCAAGACACTCAAGTGTACAGTCCCGCACACTCCTCCCCCTTCTACAGCCATGCCCACGAATTTTATGCAGCATTCTTATTTAAAAATAAAAATTGATCTTTAAAAATTGATATGAATGCAAAAACCTGCATTAAATAAAATATTAACATTTAAAATGAAGACAGGATCCAATATTGCCATGTGAGCCTCAGGCAAGAGAAAAAATTTGTGTGATCTCTATATTTCTTCTCTCTACATTATATATATATAGACAGATAGATAGATCTATATATATCACGCATCTTTACATGTCTTTATGCATTTTTAATAGTTTTTTTTCCAGAAGCAAGTTTTGAAAGTATGACTAATGAATTTGCTTCCATTAAAGCAGGAGAGTATAATTAAAATATATTGGGCATAAATAAAATATTTAAACTTAAAGATATTGTGAGTTTTTAACACAATGTCTTTTCAGTTCTTCAGTGTTTTTCAACTACTTAAAAGGCTTGGGGGAAAAAAAATTAACATTCTGGGAGGAAATCTGGAAGCTTCTAAAAAAACTAAACCTGCAACTACCGGATGACCCGCCAGTGGCCCCAGAGAGAGAGGGCGCTGTGGGTTCACACATAAGATACGTATTTTGGGCAGTTCTATTTGGAAAAGCCCAAATCTGGAAGGCCCACCGAAGGTGTTCGGGGATGGGGTTAAACTAACGGGCCCCAGTACCACGCGACACTTGCAAGCCAACGCTGCAAGCAGGCGCCGCAGCTCAGTGGTAGAGCGCATGCGCCAGGCCCTGGGCTCCATCCCCAGCGCCAAAAACAAAGAAGGAAAAGTTAACACACGCCACAGCCTAGAGGAGCCTCGAGACCGTGGAGCCAAGGGAAGAAAGAGCCAGGCCCCAGAGGGCACACTTGTGTAATTCCGTCCACAGAAGGGGGCAGGGGCACAGGAGGGGGCGTGACCAAGGAGGGGCGAGGGGGGCGTGACCTGACATGCGGGAGGGGCGTGTCTGGGGAGGGGCGTGACCTGACAGGTGGGAGGGGCGTGTCCGGGGAGGGGCGAGGGGGCGTG